AACAGCCTCAGGATTTCTTATCAGTTTCGCAAATATACCCAGAATAATTATTTTCCTTCCTCCTGTACACTGCTTGCCAGTAAGCACACTGGCAAAACACCTAGCAGTTAGAGTGGAAAAGGAAATGGCTGTGCAGACGTCAAAGACAAAGAGTAATATTTTCTTCAGGAAACAGATGGCTTAAACTAGTATTTATAGCTGTCCATATACGTTAGACAAAAGCACTCCATGTTACAAAATCTGGAGTATCTGGAAAACTGGTGATGCATTATTAAATATGTGCAAGGAGGATGGATGGTGGATGCTGTGTACGTAGCACCCCTTCTTTATTTGGAAGAGGTTGTGCAGCATATTAAGAACCTACCCAATTTCACCTGGCTGCAGTCTCTGACACTTGGGTCAAAGTTACATATTGACTGGTCAATATAACAAAGGAAAGATGGGTACAAATCGAGGTCAATACGTCTGGTGTATGCAAGAAGGTGATACGGCAGTGATATTGTGCAGAGGCAGAGGATGAACTGCAGCTTATCCGGTGCTCGGGCTTTTTCACTTGGGCAATTTATACTCAACACAGTTCTGTGTTTGACAGACGTTTTGGTTACAGGGCATGTGCTACACTTCTCATGCACAATTGTGTACTTACTTGCAACCTCAAAATGCATTTATAGACAGAGAAACAAAGTTATACAAAAGCTAATTATGTAACAGGCTATACTTGGGTACAGTTGGTGTATAGTTAGAAAGACATTTCTGACTTACAATAGGAAATGCAATATAATTTGAGAAATTATTCCTATTATGTCATTGAGAAACCATTTCATGACAGACAATTAAGCCTTGCAGTTCAACACTACAAATGCAGGGACTACATTTTTCACATATCTTTCTGTCAAATTTTCATCAAGTAGGTTTTTAAAAGGCTAAGAAATATTTCAAGGGTACTAGGAGCTGAATCTTAGTCTACATGCAGACAAAAGTTGTCTCACTATGAGATCCATTCGCTAATCCATTAATTCATACCTAGCATATGATGTGCTGACATTTTACTTTACTTTTGACTACATTGCATGGCCATATTCTGACATTGCTGTAATGGTAGGTGATGAAACATGCAACAAATCACCTCTCAGAGAACGTGTTTCTGAGACAGTTACCATTTTGTTATAAATAAGTGAATGTTGGAGTATTTTTTTTACTGTTATGCTGTCAATCGTATTTTGTTATGCCATTGATCTTATGTCAGCTTGATGTTATGAAAAGGTTTCTGAATGACAGTTACAGTGAAATGAATATTAAGTCTAAACTGTTTGGCTAACTTGTCTCCTTCATCTCCTTCATACACCAACTATGATGACTATAGTTATTTTATTCATTAGCAACCTAGTAAACCAATGTATTTGCCCTCTAATATGGAGACTGAAAGGCAAATAAATATTACTAAAATGCTGCTCTAATGCAGGACAAAGCATAGCACACCATCCTGCTGATGAAATAAAGTACCATACTTGCAGTTTTGATACTGCATGTATCCATATGCTGCCCATCTCAAATACCTGAAACAAACAAATGAATCATCCAACCATGAAAAAACAAGGCTCCTAGCAAATGATTTTCATTTGTCAAAAGAGGAGAGCCAGAGATTACATGAAATTGGGAATTCACTACTTCTCTCCAATACCCTATTTATCACCTTTGGTATAGAACTACAAGACAAACAGAGAGAGGTCTTATTCTGACATCTTTGGGGGTGACAGAACATGACAAGCCATTCCTTGTATCTGTGGTGTCCACAGATACAGTTTTACTAGGATACACACTGGTTCACTAGCAAATGACTTCACTACCTTCTTTTGATCAGAAATTTCTGAGTGGACAGGGGAGGAACTTTTCTGCCAAGGGTTGTAATCAGAAGGGGTTTGTGCCTCTGTCAAAAGCTTTGGCTAACTGATATTTTCTGAAGATGTTTGCTAGAAAATCTCTGATCAGCTCTTCTGCCTCTGGGAAATGCTTATGCTTTGCTGACAGAAGCCCGACTTAGACTCATGCCAGGAGGGATCTGCCTGGAGGATTATAAACCAAACAGAAGGAGTTATGGCACCTGGATTCTATAGCTACTAAGGATACAAATATGCAGAGCACACGCTTCAGCCAGCTGCAGATCACAGAATCAGCATTTCTCTAATAGGCATGACATCAGAGTGTACCACGTGTAGGCTTTGGGGCCCTAGGTAGGAAAGAAAGTACAAATTAGGAACAATAAAATCAGCAGTTTATACAACATGAGTTCACCATCTCCAGAGATAAAACTCTCCAGACACTACTTTTCATGCTTACATCAAGTTGGCCTCTCTTTTGCGCTAGCTAGCCCTGAAACTGCTTTCTGCCCCAATGTGCTCAGGAACCATGGATAGTCATATGAACAGCACATGTAGCTCTCACTCGAAACACCCACCCCTCCCCAGCTGTATTCAATTATCCAATTATCTGGGATGGGAGTCTTCGACACAACATCAATTACCTAGCGGATATCTTTAACCACAGACCCTGAACATCTTCTGGCATCCCAATCCTATCTCATTTAGTAATCTCTATTGCCCTACGATACTTGCGTAATTTGATTCACCATGTGCTGTATAAGAATATACTCTGTAGAAATTGCTACCCTGCAGAAAGCAAGTGACTTTTAAATCCTCAGTCTCCAGAATAGGCAACTTCTTTCTTCCAGGATTTGACAATACTTACACCTTGGTCTGTTTCAAATCCTTTCACAGAAGTTCAGTTTTATCCCCCGCTTCAGCTAGATACTACAGATAGCTATGGCAGACTTTACACATCTCCAGTCAGTCAAGATCAGTCAGCAGGATTGCTCCTTCTGCCATTCGCATGACCATAGTCAACACTCTTCACACTCTCAAAAATGCAAATTGCCAATTTGTTTTAAGCCCATCTACCAGACACAGGATATCTCCTTCTTACGCTCTCTTTCAGCACTCTGGCAATTGCAGCACATGTGTCTCTTCTCACTTTGCATTCAGATTTTTCATATGCACACAGACGACAGGAGGCCCAGTTAGAGGTATTGCTGTTCCTGGCTGACAGATATTTTTGGAGGTTTGGTTGTTTCTTTAAACAACACAGCTCAGGTCAGCTAGAGTGCTAGGTTTATTACTTTAGCTCAAAAATCAAAGTGTTGCCAAGTGACAGATAAGAACTGTGGAAAGAAACTCAGAATTTCATTTCTGTAAGTGCAAGCTTTTATTATTTCTATTTGTGGGTTTTTTTGCTGATCCCTCAGTTGGCTCCATTTTATCCAGTAGTACTCTGTGCTTATCCAAAGCCTATAAGCAGGGTGCCTGGGACATTCAGTCATCTTAGTCCATGGTGGCTGTATGGCCAAATGTGATATCACTGTGAAGAGTGACTCAAAGAAAGACATTTATCTCACTTAATTAAAGGCATTCAAATACTAAGTCAGTCTTCTAAGAGCTCTACTACCTCAACTTCCCCTGTAGTAAGTAGGACGGGACTGGTACTCCTATAAATGAGGTATCTATAATAGGTAGGATGAACCACATTCAGGAAGTCCCTCTCTCTTCTCACTGACCAAGGCAAGCCCAATGGTCAAGAGGAACACAGCAAAAAACAGGCAAGAGAAACTGCATAGAAAGCAACTCTATTGTACTTCATCAAAATCCTCTTGAGCGTCCACATCATTTACTTACTAGTTCTGCAATTGCAGGAATTTAATTTGCATAATCTCATAATTTTTATGTCCCTGCCCATTGCAGGGGTGTTAGAACTAGATGATCTTTAAAGGTCCCTTCCAACCCAAACCACTCTGATTCTATGATTGTCTTTGTGATAAAAAATTTCTTTGGCAAACTTTCTATGACTTCCCTATGTTCTATTAGAATAGTCAGTAAAATAAATCCTCATGTTTTGGATCTTTCTCATCAAACTGTAGCAATCTTCAAATGGAAATAGAGCAATACAATAAAAATAAAGCAAATATATACATACATATTTGATATGAATAAATGTGTCAAGTAAAGATTGCCTAGTAGTCTGCTTTTGGATGTTGTGCTGTATGACACATTTAGAGAATGCGCTCATAGTTTACCAGAAATGAAGTGAATTCAGTAAGAGATTGCATTTTCTCTGAAAGATTCAAAGAACATTCAATAAAAACATCATGATGGCTTTGAAAGAGTATGGACTAGGTCTTAGCAGATTACTCGGTAATTTGAACAGAGCTGAGCACATTGCCAGTGTTTGATAAGTAGCAATAAATGGTAATTTAAAATTGCATTTATGCTTTCTTTTTATTTCTACACATTTTAAAACTGAAAAGGGACCACTAAACATTAAAGCAATTCTTGACTCACTGATTGACTGAACTGAAATCCTGGTACTGGACATTGTCTCATTATCAAATGAACACCAAAAAGACCAATAAAACACTTAAAGCTCAAAAGATGAAACAGTGAAGTATGAGAAGTATCTGCACTCAGTCTGTCCTATTAACACTGTCTTTATTTCCTTTTTACAAAAAATAGAAATAACAACAGACAAAACATACTCAAAAAAATCAATGCTTTTGCCTTGGTCTCACTGAGGAGCTGAGCAGGCAGAGTCCTGGCTGAAACTTTGACAGTATATGCCATTGACAAAGGGAAATAAAGATATATGACAATATATCCATGCAAGACACAAAGTACAAAATGCGTTCTGTGGCCCAACAAACATTTTGGAGGTTGCCTGTGTCATAACAATTTTCATATTGTTACTTTTACTCACCCATGCCTTTACACAGCACAGCTTACAAACAAGTTACATATACACATATATCATAAAAAAGTTTTGTCTAACTGCTACAAATTAAGGCATCCTAACAGCTGCTGTTTCGCTGGTGAGGGGTATGTCTCATATTAGTGTTTCAAAAGGATATATTTCAGGTATTTCAAACAAAGTGAGACATCATGAGATGTGGTTTAGAGGAAGAATTCCTGCAGCTCTGTCTCTTCAGTACTCTTTTGACTGTCGGATTTCCAGCTTTTCCTATTGATGTCATCATGCCTGGAGAGGAAAAGAAGAAAATTACTCATGGTAACACTAACAATATAGAGGGATTTGCCTTGTGTTTGTTCACCCTGTTTTATTCCATTTGCAAGTATTGAACTCTGAATTAATCTTTCTCTCTGGGCTTATTTCTCTAGACATGTACTACACAAAATACTTTTAATACTGTGGATTCCTGACTTTCTTGTAGCTCCTATTCTGAAATCAAAACTGGAAACCAATGAGACGATGAGGGGCGTTTTAACTCACGGCATTAATTAGTACACTGTCATAATGTTCTGGTAATAATGGACAGAATGTCCAAAAATTCCTTGTCCTTTAGGGAAAAGTACCATAGTGATAAAAAGATCCACTCCAACAAACATTAGACATATCCTGTTTGTTTCTGACTCCACTTGTAAGGGAATCATCTAGTCCCCATTAATAATCATCAGAGAGAAATAAACACTTTGAGAAGGTGATTCATTGGACTTACTTTATGTGTCTGCTTAAGCAGAAGATGGTGGCAAAGGCCATAGGAAAAATGGCAAGCAGTAATTCTCTTTGTGACATAGGGTCTGTATCTCTTTTAACATTGCAATTTACGTAAAATCTCAGTTCAAATCATTAAGATTTTATTAGATACACAGAGAAGTATAATTTCTCTATAGTCTTCATTTCCACACTAGGTAAATTAAAAAAAAAAAAATTAAAAATCTATCTATTGTGTATGAGACTCAAATGATAGCTTACCAATTAAAGCAGAAAAATTAAACACTAAATATTTGTAACACTCAGTTTCTTCACTTCCTTTCATATGTCCTTGTTGTGAATCCCCAGGGTGTTCCCTCTCTCTTCAATTAACCTTCCAGCTGAAGGATTTTTGATTAAGCATCAAGCCCACAGCAACTTGCAAACAGATTAAAAGGCTCATTTTTAGTTATTACTGCTGAACAGTGAAACTCCTACAATACAGTTGTGACTAGCTGGTTTGTTGCTGCAAAGGACATATACTAGCGGGAGGTTAAAAACCCACAGCAAAAGGCAAGAGTGTGTATAAAAAGTTTGTTGTAAACTCACATATTTGTGAGCCTGATTCTTGTAAACCAGAATAGCTTTATTCCAGTCTACAGTCCCACAAAGAACCAAATATCCACGAGAGACTGATACTTAGGATGCTTAGATAACCTTGTGGTTACGTCAGGATTTAACAGAAACTGACCTTCTCAGGGACCACAGTTGTGGGTCCTAATAAGAGGGCATGAGGGATAACTTTATTTTAAAATCCCCTTCATTCATCTAAATTACTGTTGCCACATACCCAAAGCAACAGCAAAAGACATAGAATTGAGTTAGGGGAGGTAGAATTTGTAAGGACTGAGTTTGAGGTGGTAAAAGAGGAGCACTTAACTTTTTGCCATAACTACTTTTTGGCACTTAACGTGCATTGCTGTTATCAACAGGAATGTTTAGTGTTAACTTTGGAACTTTATTAAAGGATGCTTTCTAAGGCTAAGATAATTTGCATCAATTACGTACTGCATTAGCTTAGACTTGCAGTGCTGAAAGACCCTGTGGGTGAGTCCCCCATGTAGACGCTCACTAGGCACTCCGAAGTCCCCATTTTGCAGCTCTACAGTTGCACTGTGACCGCGAATACGATCATTTTTAGCTAATGCAGATGTCTCTAGGTGACAATGCTGAACAGACTTGCCTTTTACAACTGTGCCTGCTGACCTGAAGGAAACGTATTTCCAATATTACCAATTACTAACCAAATTTCTAGTATCTTCTGGTGCCTGTGTCACCACAGAAATACTAAACACCCCCTCATGCAACAGGCACTGACGCATGATCATAACAGTTCACAACAGAACAACTGTAAATTGTCTGGGACAAGGCCTAAATTACTTTCATATTTATTTTATACTGTACTAGTTTGAATCGTAACTATTTTATTAGGCATACAGATAAACATCCTTTTTCCAGAGTATATATTTGAAGTTGTAATTTATCCAGCACTAGGTCTGGCAGTGGGATATCTGTTAGGTTAGGTCTACTTACTATTTTAGAAGCATGCCCAGTTTACTATATAACAGAAACCTGATGGTAGATTCTGCTGATGGCCCCTGATGTATGAACAAATTTTTGCTGTTGATAGCTGCAGCTAATACAGGGTTTTGTATTGATATGGTGAGTTAGTGCTTATTTTAATGTACTGCAGATCTCAGATGATTTAAAGTGTGGGAAAGAACCGTTCATTGGCATACATGTAAGATGGAAAAAACTACAAGCATTTGCTTGGAGTCGTAATAAGCGAGAAACTAGCCAATCCTTCCAAAAGGGGAAAAATGTCCCAACCCATCCTGCACATCCGAAATTTACTCTAGGGCCTTAAGAAAAATAGGGTGTATCAAATTTTAAAAGGACACTAGAAAATTTAATACAATCCTCTACTATTAAGCTGTGACCAATTTGAAAAAGTAAACCACAAAGCCTTGATGTACTTGGGTATTTTGAATGAAAAAATAAAACAAACGAAATAAACAGAAGCTGAAGACAAAGAAGCTGGAAACTGGTGGACAGGAATGTCACCTGACTGAAGGTAGATTTTGTATAATGACTTCAGATTTCAGAAGATGCTAATAAAATCCCCTATATAAGGGTCTAGAGTTAAAATGAGTTTGGGACTGTGTCCAGAAATATAACCCCCTAATATAACAATCTACAAAGGTTTATAAACACCAAAGACCGCACTATCTTCCAGAAAGGTTCTTTTTCAAAATAGCGCTGAAATGGTAATTACACAGTCTCCCCAGACCACCCAGGGAAAATTCAGACGGTGTCCAGGGGCTTGTAGTACACGTGATGGTGATGTTCTATTATTTAAATTTTACAGGCTACAGGGCAGCAAGCAGTGAACTAATGACAGGCACTCATTTTGTCATTCAAAAATCACAACACATGCTAAAAGGCATCACGAAGGCTGGCTTAGAAGCTCTGAGAGCCTTCAGGTCTATGTTCTGGTTTCTGAAAAGCACAATACATCTTCCATTCTTAAGTGATTTTTGGAAATCTCATGCCACAGACTCTGGCACACAATTTGCCCACTTCTGTCCTAATCTGTGGGTATAATAACAGCCTCCTCAAGGTGTGCCCCTAGTGTACTCTGCTCCTTGTTTCCTACTCTCTGGTTTTCCACATGCTCACTGCCACAGGGGGCAGCTTCAGGACATGGTGCCCAGATCAGCAGTGCCTGGAGGGACAGCCAGGAGTTCAGGCTATCCCCTCCCATCACCCCCCCAGCAGGTGACTGCAGCTCTGCAGCGGCAGCCAGACCTTCCGTCTCTCACTGCTTCTGGAGAAATGCCATGCTGCCAGGGATTTCTCACACAAGAGCATTTCCACGAGGCAATACCGAATTACAACTGGCTACATCCGGGAGATGGCTCTAACATGAGGATGAGATTAATGGTTTTGTATTACTCCACGGTCTGGACAGGCAGCTGGGTGTTTTGACTGGAGGCTGCCCACTGATGCTCCCTCAAACTGCTGCTGTGCAGGCAGTTTTCTGCACTGGAATTTCCCTCTTTGTTTTCAGGATAAAATGAAACCTCTTGGAAACCTTACAGTTCTGTTTCTGGTTTCACATACATTGCGCCAATGACTTCAGAGTAAGAATCCCATTTCCATTACGGAAATTGAGTTTTTAAGTATGGGAAGGTCCTGGCATTAGAAAACAAGCGAACAGAAAAAAATTATTAGACATTTAGAAAAGAGTAACTTGAAAGTAATTTAGCATCCCGAACTGCAGAATGACTAATTTATAATTTTCCCAGAAGTATCTTCAAATGTATAATTTTGGTGTGAATGGCAATCATTTCCAGATCTAATGAAAGGATTTACATCTCAGTTTAACAGAAAAAAAAAAATCATCACAAGAATTTGTGAGTGTTAAGAGCTGAATAAAAATGACAGGTAATTTTTACAAAGCATTTGCTTATAAAATAAACACACGTTTTGTCAAATGTTGTTTTTTCCAACATGTCTTTATGGACCTTGAGGGACTGGTCTCTATCTGCCGGAACAGTCCTGATGGAACACATCTAAATTAAGGAGTTTAAACACAGTCAAAGTTATCAGACTTTTAAAAAACAGATTTAACTTCAAAGTCTGAGGAAGAGTAAGAAAAATGTGTGAAAACAGGAGAGCACTAGACTTAAGGTACAGCATTCTGCCTCATGTTCTCTGTACTATCTATTTAGAGATGAACTGTGGTCTTTTTTCTCTCCTCATGAGAGGAAATTTAATTTCCATTATCATTCGGTACTTGACTTCCATTCAACAGAGGCTGAATACTCAGCCAAAGTGCGCTATACTCCCTAGTGGATTTACGAGTATGAATACTTTCTATACTGGCTTGGAACTGAAATCCTGTAGCCAGTTCAGTGGTGACATCAGCAGAAATCCATCATAACTTTCTGCTTTTCTAGGAATTTAGATGTTCATCTGTTCATCTATTTCCCTTCTTGTGCACCAATCAACGCCAGTATTTCAGTTATGAATAATGCTAGCAAACACATGCAATTTGAGAAAACAAAGCAACAGAGATGCTAAACATCACCATGCATAAGCACATACCAAGCATAGTTATACAGAAGTTCTTCATTCAGCATGCTAGAGGAAAGGCTGGTGTAGCTGAAGTAAGAACCCTAAGGAAGTACAACATCATATCAGTTAAAAACATGCACTGAGCTTACCACATGCATAACACAGAATTCTACCAAAACATGCAGTCAAATAGCCACAATAAGATTTTAACAGATTTCTTTTTGAGTTAGTAAATGAGGCTGAATCTGTTACCTCTTTGAGACGTGTGCTGTGGTCCTTTGGGTTGGTATGCAAATGTGTTCTTTCCACAATTTTGATGTTGGCAACAATGACATGCAAACATGGCCTTTTCACAAACAACATGCATTTTACATTGCAAGCATCAATACTGTTAGAATTACCTCATCCATATCTTCAAGTTTCTTAGGGAACTATGAAAACTGCTCATGACCTTGCAATCTATCAGGACATCTTTGAAGACAGACTGTCTTTCCCTGTCACTATAAAATCTGAATCATTCTTTTGAAAAAAATTGCCATTGTGTTATGAAAATACTTCCATGTTAAATCTGCTGTTCAACTAGACGGTGCATATCTTTAAAGGCTCAAATCAGTAGTTCATACTGTGATTCTGAGTAAACTTTAATAAATGCAGTCCCACTTCAATTTATCGTATTAGGTCTCCTTTGAATTTTTCATTTAATCTCACATTCTGCTATAGCACTACAGTACCCACTAATACAGACTGCTCACTGTTTTCCAGTTCCCTCTTTCCACTGTTTCTTTTCCATACTCATTTTGCCTCCTCTATGCCTAAGATTTTCCTGTGTTTTTCTCCCATTACCTTGTCATACTTTTTACAGTATATAATTCACTATTCCTCCTCCTCTTGGCCTGCTTTATGTTCTTTTTTTAATCTTGAAATTATTCTTTCGCCTCATGTCTTTCCATCTACCTCTTCCCTCCCACCCTGTCTTTCACAGAGGATTAAATCATCTACCATTCCCTCTCACTCAACTCTTTATTGTATCTCCAGATGCTTGCACTTCTCTTCTCCACTCCACAAACACACTGCACTCACAGTATTTCCTACCTCTGTCTCTTTCATTCAATACGTATTCCTTTCTCTTGGAAGATACATTTGTTCAAAGTATTTTCTCCTTTCTTTCAAACAAGAGAGCCAGCTTCCTAACTGGAGACACCCCTCTTTCTGTTGGGATCCCAGAAAGGGCACTCTGTTGACCGCAGAGAGGTGATGATCTGGATCCAGTACATTTTGCTACAGACCAACCATATGCTCTGCCACGAGAAGACTCTGTGCTAGGAGGAGAGGGGTGGGCAAAGAAGGCTGGGTACTGACAGCTTCAACACCTAGGAGATGGCTGTAGCTCCCACAGAAGCAGGAAAGACCATTTCTGCTATTTTTCCTCTTTATATTCTACCACTTATTTTTATGCTGTTGGCCTCATCAGTTTTGGCTATAGGACAGGACAGGGCTAGTTCTTCACTTATTTACTCCTCAGAAATCCCATGGATTCAAGCGTGACATTCTCATTGTATGACTTGTCACTCAGAACAACATCAAACATGATTTCCAGGTGAACCATGTCTCTCTGGAAAGCTTTCAACACATAACATGTGAACCATGTGCACTAAGAATGCAGACTCTGTACACGAGCAATATCTGCCATTCCTTGGAAAAGCCTTCCAAAATTAAAGCAGTTGGATGGGCTTTCTACAGGTCAAATACAGTAAAGTATTTGTGTGCATCCTTTTGCTATAGAAAGGCAGGAAGAAGAAGCTGTCAAACTTATTCATTACTTAAAGAGATGAGAAAAAAAAGGCCCCTCCTCCTTTCAGAGCACTCACTGGCTTGTTTCTTCCTTTTGTGAGAGCTGCTGGACTTCCCTTGCTGTCTGCTGTCTTCCTTCCTAATGAGGTAAAAGGCAGCGTTGATGAGGTTTTGATCAGGTTTGCCGTTTGACAGTTGTTGTTGTTATTTTGGTTGCCACTAAGCGTCTCCATTATGGACCGAAAGGTTCCGAAAGGCCTTTTCAGCTGATCCCCCGCTGGCTCTCCAGAGCTGGGTGGAGCCCGCACGAGTCCTTTGCCCCGGTCTTTATCCTTTTCCTCATTTAGTTCTGACTCTGCTAACTCCACCTGCACCACAGGCTCCTCAAAAGTTACTCGGAGTTTCAAATTTTGGGAGGTTCTGCGCTTTGAAGATGGGGACTTGAGAGCACTCTTAGGGCTGGTGGCAACCTTTTGAGCAGTGGCACTGTCTGTGCTGGATGGAGAGTTGTCTCCACAAAACTGGTTCTGAGGTACAGTACCAGACTGATACGGGGCTTCACTGTCCGGATCGCTGCTCTCTGAAGTAGGGGAAGGACTGTGGCCGTCCACAGACTTAGAGACCCTGATACCAAAAGGGAAGCGACGTCCTGCTGCGGAAGTATGTTTCTTAATCATCAGGTGTAAACTCTCTGTGCTCTCAACACTCTCCACTATGGGCTGAGGCCTCGGTTTGTCAGTTCTTTTCACAGGGGTGTTCTTGTGGTCCTCAGAATTAGCTGAGTCTGTGTCAGACTCGCTGAGTGACCTCTGCATCAGTTGCCTCAGTCTGGCTAACTTCAGCTCCCTTTTCTCTGGCAAAATCTTCTTCACGTTCTTGGAGGATGCATGAGCATCCTGAAATTCCAAAGTCAGCTTTTCCTGCATACAGACATTTTCAGAGATTTCCTTCCCCAATAACTGGCGTAAGATTTTATCTGAGTCCTCATCTTTTATCTTGGCTCGAGTGCGACTAGAAGTTCCCAAGCTGCCAAGAATCTGAATCCCATCTTGGGTGTTCAATTTACTTTTTGGTGGAGACAATTCATCTGCTTCAGATGGTTTCCACTGGGGTTTGCCAGAAGCAGGAGACGATGGCAAGCTTAAAGAAAAAAAGAGGAGGAAATACCACAGCCAAGTTAATGCACATATAAAATGTGAAACTGCCATTTCCAGTGTACGTGTCTGTCTCAGCTTATTGTTACTTATCCTCTTCATCGCTACTCACATGGAATTCATTACTATGATGCCACAGAGAAGATTACACAGAGAAGGATGTAACCCTGCTTCCACTCCTAATTAGGATTTGAGTCTCTTCACTTTCTCTTACAAAGAAAACTCCTTAAAATTAAAACTTAGAATGGTTATTTCAATGCCAAAGATGACTTTCTAGGAAAACTTCAGAGAAACTACTGTTTCCTATTTGTGGGAGTTGACATGTTTTAAAAGGCGAAAAAAACCCACAAGGCCAAATGCCTACTATCCAAGTCACATCATAATACACAAGTAGCTTATTCTAAATACTCCGAAAGTACCAGCTCTCTGCATAGCAATGATTTCATAAATCTAAACTTCATCTGGTATTAATAATAGCCATATAAGACCTCATAAAAAGTCAGGGCCATTTGCACTGAAAACCTTTTCAGATATGAAATACTGAAAAGCATGAGAAAGGTGACATGAATTTATTTCAATACTATTAGAATAATAAATTAAATTTAGAACACCAAATGTTATATAGTGTGGAAACAGCAATCTCAAGTAAGTCTGATTTGCAAAGAACGTAAATTACAGAGACCATTTCTTTCCCCGTGACATATGCCAGAGCTCATAATACTCCACGTTCTTATGTTAAACCACTTTTCCTCTAAGCCAGGGTAAGGTGACAAAATTAAGGTTAGCGTGAGGCAGTGAACTCATAAATTTCATTTATTTTTTTGCAAGGAACTTCTACTCTGATGAGTCCATAGTCCTCACAGTGTACAAAATTCACATGCCTATACTAGCCACCTCATCTTCAATTCATTTTGTGCTTTTTCTCCTGTGGCAAACCGAAACAGACATTGAAGAATATGCATGTATCTACAATAGTCATTCCTAGTAAAAGGGATAGGTTCTCTTAGATCTGCTACTGGCTCCTTGGATGATGATAATATCCACAAGTGAGTTCTAGCTGGAAGGAAAAGTAGTAGCCAACAATGAAATAAAATTCTAAATAATAGAGTATCATTTTCAGACTTGCTCACTTAACTAAAAAGATGTTGAAACCTACCCTTTTACAGGAATAATGAATGATGAGAGATCTGCTCTCACCTGATCTTATCTGATACTGAAAGTAAAACAGTCCTGCTGCTCACCAGTACTCAGATGCGAGACCACTTGGAAAGACCAGTCAGCAAAAGTCACAGAAACCAAATGAGCTGGAAGACAGCGTTTGGTCCCATTGTCCCTGTTGAGCTGGCAGACAGGGAAGACAAAAACCATGATTCTAAAAAAAAGGACAAAACAACTCTTTTCAGTGTTGTTTTCTACTTTACACAAATGCATCTCCAATCCCAATGTCTTTGTTATCTACTTCTGTAACTATTTGCACTTGTCTGAAACACCGACACATGAAATTCAGGGGCAATGGAGCACTTGTCCAGAAAAGCGCTTGAGATTCTGTGAGAATGGAAAAAAAGCAGTCACTGATCCTACAAGATCATAGTTGATGACCCAAAGCTCTGACCATCAATGCCTGCAGAAGCTTTTATGCTGGCTTTATACTTTAACACATATGTAGCTCCCTAACAACCCTGAAACAAGGAGAAGCACTGTGTATGTCATACAGAGAGGAAACTGAATTAGAAGGTAATGATAAACCGAGTCCTATTTGCATGTGAGTTAATTTCAAAGTCTTCTTCAGATTGCTATCAGAGAGAAGTCGTGTGTTTGCTTGACTTCCATGCATCACACTGGAAGTCTATGATAGAAGTCAGAAGACACTTTAGCAGACTCCAGATCCAGTCCTCTGCCTTTACTTTCCTCCTCTTTAATGTTACTCAGTTTGTGTCTATTTCTGGGACTTCTGACAGGATATGTAAACAATACATAAAATTTCTGGAGTTTTAACTTATACAAGCTACTGCAGGCAAAAGATTTAACGAGAGTACGGAGTCTTATTAATCTGAAAGCAGGTTTTGTTGGTAACTGGCTTTATGAATTACCGCTGGCAGTAACGTACAGTGGACCACCACAAGGTCAAACTTTACAACTTTTCTAGGGGTTTCTAGGATCCTCTGCTATTCATCTAATACAGAATATATTCTATTCCACTGTAAATCTGATTTTCACTCTGTTGGGGAAACAGGGACTATTCATTTCATACTCCAAATTTCCAATATTTATACAACATTACACACTGTCAAATTCTAGGAGCTCAGCTTCAAGCACACGAGGTAAAAAAACACATTTAATTCACAGAACACATCTACTATTTAGACAGGTCACAGCTTCTCCTGATAACCAATGTACCATGAAACTGTGCAAATGTACCATGAAACTGTGCAAATCCAGGCTGCAGCATAATTCCAGTCACCTTACCTTGGGGACGTTGGCAGTGACTTGCCCTCTGACCGCTGGGCTTCTAAAAGCTGCTGGAGTTGGTTCTGTAACGTCACACGTTCCACTGTCTGCCTGCAAGAAAATATAAGACTGTTTACCTTGAATTGTAAAACTGTCAGCATTAGTAAGCTACAGGATAACGGATACTACCTTCCAACTTTGTATTCAGAAAAGAAGTCCTCTTCACCTCTACTTTACATAGTAAATAAAAAGAGAAATTATAAATAATAGCATAAACAGAGAGTTTGTTCTTGTCTCAATCCCTGTGGACGTTTTGTGATCACTGTACAAGACCAACTGAGAGACGCTTACTTGTCAGAGGTTATTTATTATACTTCATATAAGGACAAGTGTGGGATCATAGGCAGCAGTTCATTGGAACTGAGTGACTCACAGAAAATAACAGCCCAGAAACAAAGATATGGCAGAGCAAACTTAGGGCCACTTGGTTCTTACTTGTTTGTGTAAAAGAAGCAGAAAGGTACAGATTAAGAAGTCACTTCCTACATTTGGTGGATGGCTTTTACTCAGCTAAATGATAGCTAAGACAACTGCTCTCTCCTTTTCTATCTGCAAATGAACTCAGAGAGGAGCCTTTGCCCACTGGGAAGGGATGGTCCAATCTTCGTCAGCTGCAGGATGGAGCTAAGTACGACCTCTGTGTATTCAGGGGAGTAGGAAAAAACACATCTGCTTGCTGCCCAACCTTACCAAAGGTCCTACCTGTGCTCTGCACCCACCTTATACTCAGTAGTGCTGTACCTACCACAGTCTATCACTTTCAGTGTGGTGTTGTGATCTACGCTACTTTGTAAATAACTTTAGAGACTGATGTTTAAAAAATTGTAATAGTAGATATAAATCGTTAGTAATATGAAAGTAACATCCACACCAGAAACTCCATTTACCATAGAACTGTAATCACAGTCTCTGTTGTCCTGCCATATACTTATTTCCATAAGAAGGACTCCGTTGAACAAGATAACCTGGAAACCTTCAAGTAGTTCTATGAAAATGAAGGAATAGATCAATTTGTCACAAAAAGTTCCTCTCCCTCTCCCTGCTCCCATCCAATTTAGATCTTCCATTCTAACATCAAAACATCCCTTTAGCTTGTCAACTACCACAGATAACATTCAATCTTGTTTAGTGACCTGTAAGTTCCAGTGCCTCTAAACACTGCACAGAGTTATTGGGAAACTACTAGAAAACAAGAGACTTACAACTTTTTGTTACTGTACATATGCTATCTTTCACCTGGAAGACAATTGGTACATTTGGTTTCATTCCCTGGTCCTGATCAAATGACCATGTGAAAATGACTTTTTATCTGCTTCTCCCAGGCTCTGCTTCTGTTGCTGTAGAAGTAATATGTTTTTAGTACTTTTATTCTTATTGGATCTGCAGAACTAATACAGTTCTCCGCTAGTGAGCTGGACTCTTTCCTAGCTCGCATGCCATCAGCAGAGGAGCTAGCTGAGTTCCAAATGCAGTCTTTATAACTGGCAATGTCAAAGCCAGAAAGAATCCAGATGACTTTTTAAACTAGGGGTTGTACTTGCAGAGCTGGCAGAAAACAAACGTTTTACTTTAAACATATCAGAGTGGATCTGAAAAGTGCTGTAGAAATAAGGGTGGGATCTTGACATACTGCCTTGCCATCACATTTTACAATACAACCATGGTTTATGTAGATCCTTTCTTCCTTTAATTTTCCATCTTCCTTCCTCTTGCCTACACACTTCCTTAGACTATTTTAAAATTACTCCTACCATCTGCCAACAGTGGCTTATATTGCAACTCTCCAGATATTCTCTTTTAAGAGCCAGGGAAGTTTTCATCTGAGATTAGATTGTGATGCAATTTATCTGTTTTATTTGCCTTTTATGCTTCCTTCAACTTCTGTTCTAAATATCTAAATAATGTAGCTAGCAGCTTCTTATGATTTTAGCTTTAATGGAAATCTCTGACACCTCTTCTGCTGAGTTAATGTTCTCATTCCACTTAAACATTTTTTTGTGCTAAAAGAATTAAAGTTTCCTCCATTTTCACAGTTTAACTAGTTAGTAAATAGCTCACAGAAACCCACAGATCTTGCCAGCACTATCCCTAAAGACATATAACATACACATATATCTCTAAGATAACATTGAAAACAAGGGATCACAACTTCTTGGAATAGCAATATTGCTAAGTATTAAAACCAGACTGATTTAGGAGACAAGATCACTGTAGCTTCAGGGGAAAGAGGGTCTACCTACTTTATGATATTTAATGCCCAGATTCTGAGGGTCTTAGCTTAGGCAATGTTCCCAGTAAGTAATATATAAGGACCCTTCTGTGTCTACTTAGACAATTGTGGACCCCAGCTACCTCCTAATGAAATCAGGGAGCTCAGTAACTGAACAGGGGACAGGCTGAGGTACTGGGCTCTACTGAAGTTATCGTTCATAGTGTGTTGCCTCACTTCTCCATTTTGTTTCAAATAAAAGAAGAATGGCCATTCTACAAAGCAGAAGATAAAACAGCTTAACTAAGTAAAAAAGAGATAAACACTGTCAAGTTTATACTGTGATTCAGACTGTACGTCTATATAACACTTACTACCACAAAAAAACCTGCAAACAAACAAACCAGAAACTTGCACACACCTTACCATACCACTACAATAATTTTTTATTCAGCTATTTTTACAGCTATTCCTATGAAGTTTCAGGAAAATAATGGATTTTGTTTACAGAACACAGAAAAGTGGTGGCAACAGAGGATATTCAACCACTTTCTCATCTTCATCTTTTGACTCATGGTTTGCTTTCATCTTTGCCTTGCCCGAGATTTTGGCTTGATAGTGTATCAAAAAGATCAACAAGTGTCTCATTCATTAATTGCTTTGCACATCCAGATCCATAAATGTAGGACAGTGCAACCCTTTGGGAATGCAGGTAGAACAGTCTGTCATCAAGCACCGTTGTAAAAGAAGTCTAGGGAAGCATTAATTTTATGTCATGAGTTCTGACCTGGTCTCTTCAGGCCAGGAAAGCCCAAACAATACAAATCATTACTGCTAATGTCATCAGTGCTAGAAACCTTGTATTTGCGCAGGTAGGATTTTCTACACTGGCAATGAAGGTTGTTTTAGACAGATGAAATCAGTGAGGGAATAACTAAGATTGTGAGACCTATGGAGACCTCGGGAAGTAAAATGAAAGCCAGTATTTTGTATAGGCTCTGTGAGAAACTTTTGCGACTGTCCTAAACATTTTGTTTAATTCAGAAAATCCTACTGGTTTGACCAAACTTCTATAATTAGCAAGAGATACAAACCAAAGCTTTTATTTTGAAGCCAGTAACAGCAGTTTTTGTGGGCCACTTTCCTTTTTACCTATGGGAAGAATTGCTTGGTTCCTTCCCTCTTTGGGGGAAAAGTCTCAGTTAATCCTCTTGTGAAGATTGAATGGAACATTTGTAGTTACCACTTATTTCCTTCTTTCAAATATAAAGGCTTTTCTCTCTGAATGGAGACTTAGGCCTAACTCAAAAGGTTTTGCTATACTCCTCTGTATTTGTCATCTGAGCTGCTTTGGATCAATGAGCTGAAAGATGTGAAGTCTCTGGCAAAATGTGATTTTATTGTTCTGGTTTTTTGCCTTCTTTTCAGGAATGGCTCCAACGAGTGTGATGGATAGGGATAACTTCTCTCTAGAACTGCTCTGTGTTGCCTTGATGACTGGAAGAGCTCATAAAAAAACAATGAAAGATGGTACTTCCTTTGGTTTAGGACTTGAAGATAGGTCTTGCTAGGTGCTAGTCTAAGACAGTTTCTGCACTGCTGTTCTTGCACAGTATCAACCATTCCAGTCTTCCTGTGGTTGGGGACATACAGTGTTATCAGAGAGAGGCTCTTATTCCTGGCTAGTAAGGCACCCAGAATAAAAGAAGATTTTATGGTCACCTCATGTTTACAGCAGCTGAGGGAAGGCTGGGAAGCACGTAAGGGCTTTCTGTGTTGATATTGACCATTCAAGTAATTCATCATGATACAATCATAACTCCTCTGTCTCTAGAACAATGTCCATTAACACCAGCAGAACTAGGTGGAGAAAATACAGGAAAGCCAGCTCAGCTTCCCAAGTTGGAGCTATTCCTATGTAACAGCAGTTTGAAGTAACTTAGACTGCAAACTGGACTTCCATCTGTTGCCACCTGATACTTTCAGGATCTTCAGAGGTGCTGTAGCCAATGAATTCTCCTGCTATGCTAAAGGTAAGGCCTCTTGAGAAGCTGCCCTAGGCATGTACTTCGTACCATCCTTGGATTTTTATGCAGGATAGGGTTGCAAAACAGGGCAAGAGTCTCCTTCCATCATCCACTCTGGCTCCTGAGCATGGGCCTCTGAACATGGTCCATTGCTTCTATGAGAGCCACTCATGGCCTGAGGCTTGCAGGCCAAATAGCCATGCAGAAGCTGTTCTTTCAAGCACAAAATAGAATATTTCACTGCCTCAATAAACTACAACAGGGTTGCACAAGAGACTCACACCTCTTTGTAGAAGAGGAAGAAAATGCTGCTGGTGTACTTACTGGAGCGAAATCGGAAGCCTGAAAAAACAGGCTGCTGAAGGGAAGCAGATTTAACTCCAGCTGAGACAAGTAAAGGAACCCATCAGGAGCCCGATAAGAATAATTTAAATTACTTCCTATGCATGCAGTCTGTGAGATGACAGGGGCGACACTTGGAAAAGTGTTAATGTTTTTGTCAGGAAAGTCAGGACTAGACTATTTCTATGGGGGTAAACAGCCTGCTGACTGACATAACAAGTCTTTCTTTTCCATATGAGAGGTAACACATATCAAGTACTGGGAGAGCACTGAAGAGAACTGAAATGTGGAGAATGTGTGGTTGCCATTTCTACTTCCTGGTGTGTGCATTTTTTTTCTGCTGAGTTATAGGGAAAATAAATTTCATTACATATTGAGATGAGTCAGGTGTTAATGCAGGCTACTCAGGCAATAGCCTATGTTCTGTTTTTTCCTTTATATCAGCTGATTTATATATTTTAGTATTTCTCAGCAAATGAACTGACTACAAAACACCTGGTACTTCGAAACGTCCAGTGAACAGTGTCAGACTGTAAAATTATGAAAACTGAAAATTATAATAATCCTTAGTTCACTGTTTGTATTTATGAGAGTATAAATGTAAAAGAAGAGTGAAGATACCACAAAGAGAAAATGACTTCATAATATAAAACTTAGCGGTACAAACATAAAAATAAGCATACTTCAAATGCAGGAAGACATTCTGTAATGACAGAGATGACTGCTACTACACATTCCTTTTTCTGTAAAAACAGTACAAAATAGATACCTGGTTATACCCAAAGAGTGAATTAATAATATAGATAATTTTTACCCTTATTTTCAAGACATCCGGTTTGAAACTAAAAATTGTATCACTGTAATTGGTTGGCCCCTGCTGGCAGCCAAGCACCCACACAGCCAGTCTCTCACTCCCCCTACCCCTCCGTAGGATGGGGGCAGAAAATAGGAAGGACAGAAGCAAAAAGCTCATTGGTCTTAATTCATTGCCAGTTAGCGTAAGTATTTCATTACTGATTCAGGTATTAGGAAACAAAAAAGGACAGACATTTAAAACACCTATCCTCCCCTTTTCCAGGCTCAACTTCACTCCCAGGTTCATCTGCACTCCAAGCCCCTCTTCTCCTCCATTCTCAGGCTTTGCTCCAGACACCTCTCTTACCCTCTTGTCATCATTGCAGGTTACACCCAGTCTTTTCAGTGAGGCAACGAGCAGCACAGGTCAGAGTTTGTGTGTAGCAGTTTCTCTCTGCTGCTCGTTCCTTCTCACTTTTTCCTGTGCTCTACTGTGGGTCCTTTACAGGCTGCAGTCCATTTGGGGAAGCACCAGCTCTGGTGTGGGCTTATCCATGCGCTGCAGTCCTTTCAAGGTGAGTACCTGTTCTAGTATGGGTACTCCATGGGCCACAGTCCCTTTGGGGGTGTGCCCGCTCCACCATGGTGCACGTCATGCTCCTCTGACCTTGCTGTTCCCTCTGTTTGTCACTCTTCTGTTCCCTCGTCCTCTCTGGCATTTTCTGCCCCTTCTCAAATATGTTTTCGCAGAGGTGCCACCAACTTGGTTGATGGGCTTAGCTGTGTCCTGCAGTGGGTCTGTTGCGGAGCTGGCTGGAACCAGTTGTGCCTGGCAAAGGGCAGCCCCTCACCTGTTCCCACAGAGGCCACCCCTGCAGCTCCCCTGCTAAAAGAGTTTTGTAATTTATACCCAGTACAATTACCCACATGCTGCTTGCATAAAATTATATGGTCTCCTCTAAACATGGGATTGTCAGAAGCCATTTTCATGCCTTGTGGTAGCTGACAAGCTCTTGATCATGTATGTAAGTTGGAACAACGTTAGGTCAGTGCTGATGGTTTCTAAGAGTCTTATCTTATGAGCCTATTGACATGCTAAGTCACAATAACTTCACCTACAATAAAAGCAAGCAATTGCATAAATTCATGTTTCAAAATAACAGGCTCTTTACAGAACTTTTGTTAAAAACCATACTAAAATATGAAAACCATCTCCTATGGAGAAAAAACAGAACATAAGATATTTCCTGAGTAGCCATTGTGGGCTTTGGTGACCTTCCAAGTCCAAAAAAACTCCTCCAACTACTATTTCCATTATTCCTCCTAACATCAACTCCCAGCACTGTAACTGGGAAGAGCCACTCACTGTATATAAAAGCATGCTATGCAAACAGAAATTATGATCAGTAATGATGTGATCCCAAGGTATGCAAAAGGAAAAGGGACCGGATCGCTTCATACATACTCTTCCACTCCCACTCCCTTCATCTATGTTCACAGCAAACTGCCACAAAGAGAACAGCTGAAAAACTGAGCTGCTAAAGGTGAAGGGGCAAATGCTTCAGAGCAGAAAGAGTGGATAAATAATGTAGAAATATGACTTGAAAATACCGTATATAAGAAGCACAAAACAGACACTGCTAATAAACTGGGGACAAGGTAGGGTTTTGTTTTAAGAATGATCCCTCTGCTAACAACGAAACACTTACTCCTTCAGCTGCTTAGTAAGCTTGACAACCTGAGAGGCCAATGACATACATGTCTCCACCACCACTAAGTAGCGGGAACACATGGTGTGCCCGTGTCGCTCAGCACTTTGTGAGGGTTTCTCTCCCACGTGGTTTTGCATGGTGACATTTGCTCCGTATTCAACCAATGTCTGTAAAAACACAAAAGGAAATATTGACACCTGTAAGTCTCTGCTGTGACTTCTGCTCAACCACAAGAATGGCTGGACGCAAAGCACTCCTGAATAAAATGCTTGAAAATGTTGGTCTATGCCAATCATTTTTAAAAATCAGTCACTGACAAGTCTGTATGCAGCTTGAGCTCAAAACACATACCACTAAAATCTAACACTCAGATGCAAGGATAACACAGAATAGTGAACTGTGGTTCAGAAGAACTATAAAAAGACTGTATTCTTTCTTCCTTTCCCGTTGCAGTTCTGCTCCATTAATTTGTTTTCTGTTCATTTGTTTGTGCAGCATAGCATGACTTGTAGCATTCATACAGTGAGTGGGACCACCAAATGAAAGCAGAGGCCTTACATTTAGGCACCTATTGATTCTCTCCTGAGCCACAGTAATAAACTTTTGCAAATGCACCTGTCTATGCATTACTAAACATTGTGCTAACTTTGCACATGGTAGACCTAGAGAAGAAGACACAAGCAAATGCAATTCAAAGGACATCTATGCTAGATAACGTCAGGGTCCAGGGCAGCATGAACACATTGCTAGCCAGTTTACAGAGGGTGGTGATGAGCCCTAATGGCTCACCAGGTCTGGCATCTGCTGTTCTTGGGATCTCCGCGCTGCAAGGCATTGCAACACACCCTTAGAATCTCATTTTAGGAATGTCTTTGCTACAATATTTGCTGACTCCTTTTGTGGTTTAGCTCTCAATTTCCTACCACAGCAGAATCCCTGAGCTTAAAACACTCAATGCAGCAGTCACAATGTCCAGATTCCTTAGCCAAGTGATGTTTGGATACGAAAGGTATGGCAGATACTTTCCAACAACTCCTTTAGGTCAGACAGGCACAAATTTATTTTTGCAGAAAGAAATCTGTACAATGACTTTTTCAATCTGGTTGGGGTTTTTGGGGGTCTGGTTTTTGGTTTTTTTTTAACGCTGAAAGACATCCCATTGCTTTGCGCTTGCTTGGTTACCCCCTATTTTCTTTTAAAGAGATACTCAAGTATGTGTCAGTTTTACTCTTTAAGAAAAATAATGGCTCATACTCTGATGTATACCCCTGTGTTACTCACAGCCCTAGCAGAGAACCCCAGCCTGTTGCTGAAGAACTGTCCAGGTTGTAAGCATGACATTTGAGTTACCTCTGGTACTTGAATCCAGAGTGTTGTAAGGGCAAAAGAAGTTCTGTCAGGCTGACCGCAAGACATCCAATAACTGAAGCAAGAATTGAGACCAAACCTTCACTCTTTCTGATCTGTTTGTGATAATCAGTGTTATGCGCTGTTTGCTTTACTGGAGAGCCTAGAATAGGACCTAAATGTTCAGACACACATTGCTCATAGCACTTTGGAAAAAATTCTGAACGAAACCATAATGCATCCAAAAACTACAGCATCGTTAACATTACACATACAGATGCAGAAGATGAATTGCATAGCTGAGCTCTTGGTTGACTTATCCAAGCAGTGCTGGTAAGCCACTGAGGATTGGAGTGGCCTTGTTGACTCAGAACAGCAGGCACAGAGACCTCTACATCTGCTGACAGAAAAGAGGAACGGTGGTCTGTCTGGTTTGCTAAATCTATACAGAAAGGAAACTTACAAGCAGTCTTGCACTGCGTCTCATGTCCATAAGTTTGGTATAATTTGCCAATAAAGAAAATCAAGAAGGGAGAGCTATGACCCCGCAGAAAGCAATCTTACCATCTGGAACATGATAGGAGTGTCACCTGCTCTTAACCACAGCGAATGAGCGGGCCGGGGAATCACTGACAGCTCGTGACCCTCCATCTTTTGTACTGCTACTTATCATCTCCCTGCCTCCTTTATCACTTCTTTCTTTTTACCAGATCATTCACTGTATATTGTTTTAATTTAGACTATAAGCTTACTGGGCAGAGGGCTTACTTTGTTTCACAGGACAACAAAGTATCAACTGCACTTAAGACTGTGAGGTGTTAATGAGGTGACAGTACTAACATTGTATATTTTTGTTGTCATTAGTTATTTTCACTATTTATTTCTCATGGCTTCACGTCAACACAAAACACTTGTTGATCTGTGCATTTATCTACAATAAAATAATCTTGAAAATTCTAAGCCATTTATTAAGTTTCATTCTTCACAGGGAAAGCAGGGCTATTCTCTTTTTGGTTTAGTTTTATCCATGAAAAAATGCCTGCAGATGTCACCACTCTGTTCAAAATCACCTACTCTGATTTCTCCTTCAAATGCATTGGTCATGTCCTCCAAATCTATTTGACTGTGTTCTTTTCAAGTCTATTCATTCAGCTCAAATGTCACCCGTTTTTCTTTTTTTATTGTGCGAGACTCTCAAACTGGTTTTTATGGAGTTATGCCCTCTCTGAGTCCAGATATATAAATAGACTGCTACAATAATAATAAGCATCTGTAGATTCAACATAACAGTGTGCACAAACATATTTAGCTCTCTGAAGAGGTTATCTAACGAGAACTGACTAGCTGTATTTCTTTTAGGGTTGAACAAATACAAATCTTCTGTATTTGCAGTGGCCTAAGAGGTGCTGTGGATCAGTTCATGTGTGAACTGATTCAGTTCATGTGTGGTAACAGGATTAACATGTTTACTGATATATATCTGAGTCCTTAGACTCTGAGAATTACTCCTCCTTCTTAGACATGTTTTCCTCCCCTACTTGACTTGATCACTTTGATGTCTATTTCTTGTCTTTCTGCCATGTGGTTATTCTTTTATCTATTCTTCTCCAATGACTAAAAAATCTGTTTCTCAGATACCTTTCTGCAGTCTCCTGCAATAATTTTATTATTATTTCTTCTCCAAACAGCTTTCTCTCAAAGTGACGACAAAACCAATTACTGAAATGTACTCCTGTGACTAATGGTTCTAGTAACTTTGATGGACAGAGGGTACATCTGCAATTCAACGCGAAGTTGAGATGCTTCACCTAGCCATGCAGTTCAACCCTACAGCTTTTTTGGTATGTCTGCATTGAACACTGGTACTGTACAGAGGTATCCAAACTGGTTTATTTAGATCTGGCTCCCGAAAGTACTGTAGCTGTTGTAAGCATTCTCAGCAGGACAAATTACTCTTTTCAGCAGCTCTATACAACAGAACTATATTGCTTTCAGTGGCCAGGCTGATTCATTAAGAATTAGTTAGAAATGACCGTCATGCTGCATTGTTTAGCATAGATACATTCAAAGATTACAAGTCTGGAAAGGATGGTTTCCTCAAGGTGGAAATCCTTCAACATAGAAGAAACTTATCTGTTAGACTTCCCCTAAGCCGAAGAGCTACAACTACTCATTGGAAAAAAAAAAAACAGAAGGAAAATATCAGAACAGTAAGAAGAGTACTTATATCTACACTGGCCGCCCTTTTGTAACATAAAAACACACACATTAGCTGCTTATGTATAAACAATATAATCATGCTTTCTTTTTGCAATACAACAATTACTTTAGGCTAACAATAGCGTAATTGAGAATAGAATCCAAAAACCAGAGCTTTTCAGTATTTCAGTCTGAGTCCTACTGGTTTAAAGTTCTTCCTTCTAGTACATTTTAATGTACCAATAATTATTCCCACTTGTAAGATCTCCTATATTCATTTGAATGGTTGTTGTCATTCAAGTTTGATGTAAAGAGGTTTCTGATAAAGCTATCACTCTACCTGTATGCATCCCAGATAGCCATGTTGAGCAGCTATGTGAACAGCAGTATTTCCATCCTGGTCAACTTCATCCAGTGAAATCCCTTGTTCTTGCATAAACTGAAGAAGCCACAGAAGGATTTTCTCCTAAGGGGAGGGGGAAAGTGATGTCACAAAAGATAAGAAATAGTGAAAAGAGAAATGTACTAGAGGAATACTGGTACTGTCATCTGTTACTAATACTGTCCAATAATTCCTTGTTTTCAGTCTCTCTTAACTTTGTAGGACTTAGTGTATCATGGGTCTGTCTCTCTCCCTCCCCCACCTCAAGGAAATAAGCTGAAATACTTTGTTTTATAAAAAGACATAATAGGAAAAATATGAGTTCTGTAACACATTCTGAGAAATTGTACATTAAAAAGTATGCATGTCTGTATGTTGGAGAGGAGACCTGAGGCAGAACAGCCTGTGCGTCAGTCTGAAAATCAGCTTGTGAAATTTGGTGAAACTTCACAAGTCTCTTTGGAAAACTGAAACAGGAGTATCTGCAGATCACAGAGCTGAGCAGTTAAGATTCTTCAAATCTACCATCATGCCCCAGCTCTGGGCTCTTGTGCAAGAGGAGAAGCAACACAGCTAAAACCAGGAAATCTCTCTATCCTGAGCTCTTAGTGTATTGACTAATGGACCATTTGTATGTGCCTGCATGTTGGGAAGGACAAACTTGCAAGGGAAAGTCTGGAAGCCAATACTGAGGTGCCAACCTAATTCTTTTTAACATCGCTTTTTGTGTGTGTATGCAAGTGTAATACACATCTATATGGGAATTCTTTCCTAACAATGGAGAGTTAAGCACTAAGCTTATTTTATTTCTTATTTTCCCCAGCAGGTTTATTTGGAAAAATCTTCTTCCCTCTAGGAACCTTCCATGCCTCTCCAGATTAAATTTCATTGTGCCCTGTTGAATGTGATACATATTGAAAATCTAGAATAAATCCATAGATTACATTAAAAAATGAGGTCCATTAAAGGATAGCTGACTACACCTGTACTCCCAGTTTTTGCATCTGAATAGCTGAAAAGAATAAATTAGTTTCTAGGTTAAAACTTTTTTATTTAAACATCTATTTTTTATTATCTTCCATTGATACCTATCGTGTTATACTGGCTAGAAGCTCTAGTTCAAAAGGGCTTTGTAGATTCTGGTGTTGGTGAGGCAAACACCAATGGACAGACTTAACCTGCAGCACTTCAGTAGCTTCAGTGATACATAAGTACATAATCGCACACAGTTAGATATGTGGGTCTGTAAGAGTGAAGTGTACCTAAATAAAACAATACTGAAAGCATGTCTAGGACTCTGAGCAGTAATCAGGTAGGAAAGAGAAAGAATGAAAATGCGAAAAGGAAATTCTAGCTAGGAACTTTGGATATAAATCTCTTTTTTTGTATAAAAGTACCACAGAAACTTTAATGTCAAAGAAAAGGAGATGGTTCCTCAGACTCTTTTAGGTCTCCTCCAAATGATTCTGCCCATTCAAGCACCTGATCTCTGTGTACTACTTCAGAGGGCTAGTCTGTCTGGAACTTGTCTTCTTCATATTTCCACTTTAACAGCAGTTTTGTTTTTATTACAGGGTGAAGGGATAGGTATTTTTACTTCTCCTTGGCTGAATGCCCAATACAGCTGACAGCCAGCATGGAGAGATGACTTCAGATCACATATCCCTTTTAAAATAGTTTTGAGCTATTTCTCGAGATGCCTGTGGTGTTGGCCAGCAGTGAAGAAGGATTACACTATTCCTATGAATTGCCCTTATGTTTTAATAATTAGAAGAAAAATATTTTAGCAAAACTCCTCTGCAGAATTGGAAGACAACTATGGCTTTGAAATTATATATTTCTTTGGAACATAATAGGGACCAGAATGTTAAGCATGTTCTGTAATTTTATAATCACAATCAGTGTGGAGCAAATTACAGTTTCTAGTCATTTATCTTATCAACACGGAAATCAAGTGCCTGGATGGCTAAATGCAATCATCTGTACTCAGGACTGTCTGTGCATCAACTGATCACAGGCACAAAGTCAGAGGCCTACTCAAACAGTTTGTGTTTCTCTCAAATGGCTATGTTTTTTAACAAATGTATCCTTGGGAAAAAAAAAAGAAAACAAGAATTTTCTTCACTTACATCTAGGAAAAATGAAAACATCATAAATCAAAACATCTCATATATCACTTTAGTAAGACTCACATTATGTATTTGGAAGAAAAGTGTTCTTAGGAATAGGTTTATAGTCATCAACTCAATTTATTCAGACAAAATGAAGGATAATAAGAAAATTCATGAGATTAAGATAATGGAAAATAATCACATATTTGTTATGTAACAGGAACTGATAAATACTGACAAATTATTCAGTATATCTGCTAATTTTAAGACCTACAATGGTCTTATGTTGTAGCAGTGGTTAACATCCCTCTGGCATATTCCAGACCTACAATAATTCAAACCTCCCTAAAAAAAGATTCTGGGAAAATGTCACAATACATAATTTCTGTTTTGGGACAGGGTGCAGACTTTGGCTCCATCAGCTGGCTTTTGGAGCAGAAAGAACAACTAACAAAGACCATTTAAATCATTAAATGGACTACAAATGGAGGGATTAGCATGGTGAAGAGTACTGACTCCACAGCTAATCCTAGCCACATCACTCAATATTAATTAAATAAGCTGCCCTTCCCAGTATCCCTCCACAGTAGAGGAGCAGAAGTGAGTGAAAACAACACGTTTTCCTTGCAAAAATGACATTAGACAAGAAGGCAAATATCTTGAGGCGCAAAAAAGGTGTGTTGTTAGGCATTTGCATACCTGAATGTCACACACTCCTCCCCGCTGCACTCTCCAGCACTACACCACTGCCAAGTGGTGCACAGAACCCCTTCTAGGTCCTCAGTCATGCTGTAGCTCTGGTTCCCTGAAGTCCCCGTAGACTCTCTGGAGCTCACAGGCAACAGACCCTTGGCATTCCCCACCCTCTGCCTCTTACCTGTGCAGTCCATGCTACCACAGCATCCATGTTGTAAAGAAATTACAGCCTTGTGAAGCTCTTAGTCAGGACCTACTATGTGCACCTAGGAGGACTGCACCATCATCTCCTTCCTGTCACATGGTGTCTGCGCCAGACACAGCTGGTACACAATCTGCCATGTACCCATGACTTATGCCTGGCATGGAGAGGCCTGCCAACAACCACGGTTGCTTCTTGCATAACCCCATGCTTAAAGAAGCCCTTGGTAGGAGGTATGCTGGCCAGGCTACAGCTTCACTTTAAGCTCTTCTCCTCTTCCATCAGATGAACTTAAATGGCCCCTCTCTCTCTGGACAAATATAATATTGTTGAGATGTCTTTGGAGTCAGGCCATGACTGTGGCTTGATGACTTTTAACATAGGAGCTTTGCTACGAACTCCCTTTTGCTGCCCATTCTAAATGATATTTATTGAAGAAAAATATAGTGCGCATGCCTAATGCCTGGGGAAACAATGGATGGACTGACTCTTTTAGAAAATGATTCAATAACAGGTCTTCCTTGTAAAAATATTACTCTTGTAATTCTGCCAAGACCAGTGTTTACATGGATTATCTCTCATGTAAGTAATGGTAAAATAGATTAAAGCTTCGAGGATAGCGCCAACTACGCATTTGAATTTCTCAGAGTTTTTTTCTTCTTAACACAGTTGGTAAGATAGTCTGGCATTCCTTCAGCCTCAACATTCCCTCATGTTTGCAAGATGTTTATGGATTATAAAAAAAAATAATAATTGACATTACATGTGAACTTTCTTTGGCATTCAGCTAACTAAGAAAATTTGGCAGCAATTTATATATCACCTTTTTAAATTTCACGGGTGGCTGATTGTAGCTGGTGTTTCTTAACTGGTAGAGCTTCCGTCCTGCTCTGAAAAGAATCTAGATAAAGTGTGCCAGATCTGCTCCTGGCAGTAGACAGCATAGCTCACTGAAAAAAAAACAAAGCTTCACTGGATTTAGTTTGTATAAATATCTTTAGAGATGAGGACAAAATTAGGCTAATCGATTGAAGATACGAATGTAAGTTCACATGAAACTTTCTCTTCCAAACTTTTTCTTCCCAGTAGCAAACATGCCTTTCTTGAATTCAGTTCTGATCTGGCTCCCAGCCTCCCTATATTCAGTGCTAGGTTTACAGGCCAAACTTGCTACGGAAAGCAGGACACAATCAATCGGTATATCCAGCAGGGTCCTAACTTGCATCAATAACATCTGTGTAGTAGGTGAGTGGAGAAAAGACAATGGAGGTCTTTTCACAGCATGAAAACAAGGGTGTCTACGGAAACAGCAGGAGAAAGGGTAGACTTCCAGCTCCACAGCCTTCCAAACTTGCCCCCTTTCTTTCCCTCCCCCTCCAGTAAATCCATGCTTGGGCAGGATCAGTTAACAGCAGAAACGCATCACAATAATTGTATGGCATTGCATGAGAAAACCACACTTGTACAGGAAAGAAAAATAATTTCCTAGTGGTTACATTTTGCTTGTTCTCTCTTAACAAGTAAGAGAAAAAAAGCATTAGCACAAAAATAGTGGGTTTTCTGCATTTATCCTTAATGTCTGTTGAAGAAACTGGGTGATAAAGTGGTCCATCTGCCAAAGAGATTAGAGAAGAGTAATTGATCACTATTCCTTGTGTAGTAGATCTTGGAGAAGGTCCTTTCAAAAGGGGTTATTGCAAGGTCTACTTTGGAAAAACAGACTTTGTGGGAAGAGAATGTGGTGCGATTAAGTGGTATATGTTTCTCCAGACATTAGCAAAGCACCGAAATGCTGCACTTCTGTGGTTTCTCATCATTAGATTTATAGATAAGTTAGGTGTGGAACAGGATTGGTTTACAACAAATTTTTATATGTAATTCTCAATAAAACTGGCTAGAGCTAGACAGATGATGTTCAAGTTTCACCACACTTCACTGCCAATATACTGAATTCCTAAATTGTCACAATTTGCCAAAATTTTTTGATATTAGTCTCTCCTGGAAAGAGAATGTGAACTATCCCGAAATCTTTGATGATTTTCTGATGTGTCCTAGGAGTCCCCTAGGGATCATGACAGCTAACCTCCCTAGATGTTCTTGGGATTGATACGTTGGCCTAATATGCCAGCTAATCTTCTCCTAGCCATTACTTAAAGCTTAAAAAAAAAGCAGAAAAAAGACTTAAGAGGGAAAATACTGAAAAAATACACAGATTAAGTGGGAAAAGATTTTGCTATATTTTAACTAATTAAGAACATCTGTAACTAAAAGCCACAAAATGATAAAGATACTTTAAATTGGAATTCTCGTATGAGCATCTAAATAATCTAGTTAAAGAAGTAAATAAAGTCATACCTGGCCATAGCAACCTGCATAATGAATAAGGCTTGGGTGGTCTTTTGAGCAACTTAATTCTGCAATAGCTTCTGTTTCGCTCACCATCCACCGAACGCACTCCAGTTGACCATTCTAAACAAATAAAAAAAAAATTTTAAATTCCATCTCTTTCAGTGCTAAACACATCTACAAACAGGGAAAAGCTTATCAGAATTACTAAAATGTAATGAAATTCCAGTTTGTTTGAAAATGTGTTCTTTTATCTGCTCTCATGTAATACACTTGTTTATCTTGCTGTCCTGGATCAATTATAGTTTGGCTATTGATTATAGCGAAATAGGCAACATGAAAATGGCAGTCAAATAGTATTATATACTCAATTTGGCCCCTACTCTCAGATTGTTCAGAGCAAAACCACAGTTTTGTTTCCATCACTTGTACAGCAAGGCTCAATGACTGAATGAGATGATTTGCTGGAGCAGAGTGAACAGTTTTCCTACAAACTCAAGTCTTCATTGATCACTAATTAAATGCATGCTTCCTAAATTATTCCTATGTGTGTAATCCTATTACAGATAGGACCTATCTGTAATAGAAACCATTCAAACACAAACAAGGAGGTGGTTCTTGCCCTGAACACCTTTTACAGCCTGGTCTCAAGATTCCCAAGCTGCTATGCACACTCCCAGTAGTTTGCAAGTTACTGTGAGGTGGGATGTAGATGCTGTGGAAACAGATGAACATTTTCTTCAGAGCATGCTTGCGGCCCAGTGTAAAGGCAAGAGTTTTAACAGCTTCTCTTGCTGCAGCCCCTTTTCAGTGATGGTACCTTGGCAAATGCTGTTTGGCATGACCTACATTCCGGACTGCTCTTACTTCATTTTTCAACTGTCATGTTCATAAAGGCTATTATATTCTTTATAGCTGAAACAAGTATTTCAATTGCTCAGTCAAAACCTCACAGAGGTCAACATACATAACATAAAGAGCTGTTTGTGTGCACAAAATGGAAACAGCTATCATGAGAAGGAAAGAAATATCCATTGCAAGTTTCAGTTTTATTTTTATAAAAACAAGAAGAATGTAATAAATATTAACCCATTTAAAACTATATGGGAGAAAGAAATATTGGAATAAAATTAATTTGATATTTGTCTTATTCCTTCCATATGTAATGTATGTATATAAAAACAAAAATGCACACTATTTTACTTTAGTTACTTTCCTCCATTTCTCTCAAATTCAGTAATGAAGTAAAAAAATGAAACTACTTGTATTCTTTTTATTATGCTAGAAAAATCCTCATCATCATATTTGGGTTCAAATATTAGTAAGCATGACTAACTAATAATTTTTTATTTTGTTTTCCTTTGTATGACAACAGAGTAAAATATTTTTGTATTTTTAAAATTAAGGTAAAGAATTAATAAAATTAAGTACCTGCTAAATAAGGTAATTTTGCTAATGTGGAAAGGATTTCTCCACAGTTAGTTAAAACAAACTATCAATATGACAGTGCAACTGGCCTTAACATACCACTCCATTTTCACTCTCTAGCCCATAGCTCAAGGTCAGAAAGAGGACTTAAATCAAAAGAATTAATTTTAATTAATTCATTCCTTACTGAGAAATGTTATGCATTATCACTAAATTGTTGAAATTACTTCCATGGAAATTTATGTTCCTGCATACATGTTTTCTTCTGTTCTCATAGTCACCATTCTTGTGGAACATAGGTTCACATCCCACATGGTGTAACATTATGGGAGTTACAATGGTATAAAGTAAGAGCAAAAAGAATAAAGTCCATTCTATCAGTGTGCAAAACCACTTTGGGAGTAAGGATCAAGAGCTACAAAGTTTAGTTATGCCAGATTACTTTAAGGCTCTCACAAAACTTTGCAATGATCCAGAACAACTCCAGCCATGCAGGTCATCATTAGAAACACTTGGGCCTAAGTACCCTCACTTACATGAAGGAGTCCATTACATTTACACACTTCTCTGTGAATGTCAAAGCATGCTCAAGTATTATAGAAACTAAAGGAACCAATTATTAAAAAAGCCAACCTTTTGGAGAAAAAGACAAAAGGTTTTATTGGCTTATAAACACATTATATACCTAGGTTGAAAAAACAAGAAAGAAAATTATTTGCAACTAAAATTGTAAGACGTTAAATTGGCAGACTGTAACTATTCAGTTTGGACATGGGCCAAGGTATTGAAGCTAAATACCTTACTTTTATAATAGCATTTCATTAATGCATTTAATTTTCTATTCATATGCCTTGTCCCAGAAAAATAAAAAAAACCCAACCCTGAAACCTGCAGCAGGGCCCTGGGTCATTGAAATGACGTCTCAAAGATGCAAACCTGCAGGTTGGAATCCAGCAGTCCTCTGACAGTTTCTATAGTTTTCCCAAGAAGCAAATAACAATAAAACCCCGGAAGAAACAGAAACTTTTGTATTATATTTCACCCCTTTCCTTGTTTCTTCTTAAGGTACTTAGTGGCTAAAAGAAGGGCATTCAACCATTCAATCTCCCTTACTAAAGAACCAGAATCAGTATGGTTAAATTATCAGCCTCCCTGTACACCACTATGTTTTATTTTAACACAGCAATATCAATAATTTTCACATTTTCCTACATAATAGGTTTTCCATTAATTTTTGCAGTTTCTGACAGGTTGTTCTGTAACATGTACATTTTAACTTTGATGCAATTGTTCTAGGCAACCAAGAAGTTTCACCTCCAGATGTGGGTCAGAGGTTTGTTATGCTTTGTAAATATGTTCTCACACTTGTCTTACAAGATTATACCTGTATTTGTAAAAAAACCCAAAAAACTGTTATGCTCTCTAAAGAAACAACTGAGCCTGAGTTAAATGAAAGTTCCTTAAAATATAACAATTTTTTTTAGAGTCGTGAATGTATATGCATTGACAACAACGTATAAAATGTCAGTGTTATACAGCTGATATTGTATCCTGCATAGTAATCCATTTTTATTTCCTTATGTGGTACCAGCCAACAGTTCTTTTTGCTTTCACTTAACAAAACGCTTGAAAAATAACATCCTGCTGGATGTATTACTTACTGCCATCACAGAAAGAAACTAAATGACCTTTATGTCACATTACAGTAGAGACAGAGACTAAGCTACCTTTATTGCTAATCCAGCTGGAGTTAGCTGCTCAATGTTTCGTTCATTCAAACAGTCTTCACCCATCAAAGAAGTGAGATGCTGCAGGCATTCTGCATGTCCCTTTGATGCTGCTACATGCAACAGATTGTTGTCACATTCATCATGGATCTTATCCAGATTATCTGCTGCTAAATGTGGCTGTTAAAAAAGGCATTATGTTAGTTACAACTAAGGATAAAAAGATACACAGAACATTAAGCCTCACAGCCCAAGATACAAGCCAAATACAAAGATGTTTCCCCATAGGCATGTTCTTTTATAACTCAAAACCAGGAGCTTTTCACTTCACTATACAGAACCTGGCTACTATTAGCAAAAGGATAAAGGCGAGATGCTCACTGGCTTGATTCACTGTGTAGTTTCTCTCCTTCTCATGCAGTTGTCATACAACAGTGCAAGATCTTGAGTAGCTTTAAGTCTTTGTACTAGTTTGATCAATGAAGTAGCTGCAAAAATACCCACATCTTCATAATTTCTATTTTGTGGCTGGTTTCTCTCCTTTTTCTTTTTTTTTGGGGGGTGGCATTATAGTAATGAGTAATTGAGCGGAAAACATCCATGACTCCTAAAAAAAGTTCCTGATTAATTTTGCTTATCACAAAAGTGGCAGCTTCTGTTAAGCAGAGTGTAAAATGTAGTTAAAACACATGACAGAAGACTTTTATTTGGTAGCTTGTTTCCATGAAAAAATTGGTTAGAATATTTACCAAGTACTACACAACCATGACTTAATACATTATTTCTGCCCAAATCTAATTTTGAGAAAAAACAATTGGACTGAGAAACTCCAGAAGGAAAACGGAAGAAGGAAGACAGAGTTAAGGAGTAGCGATGGTAAGTTCCCAGAGTTGCGTGGACTTGCCAGAGTACTGTTTGATGTCTACTTATTCAGAGGTTTCTACCTGTTTGGAAAAAATATGCATTTTCTTTCCATCTATGTACCTATGATGACCTCTTTTTTTCCCCGCAATTCCTATTTCGAGGTGAATTTAATTTGCTTTTATTTCTTACTGAGCCATCTAATATTCTCTTCTGCCTCTGTCTAGTCTTTGAATATCTGCCTTTGTTCTTGCTGCTATGTTAATAGCGTGCCTTTGTGCTTGAGCTAGACTGGTAAACAGAGAAGCTAAACAAAAATCTAACAAAAACAGTTCTTATACATGCACTGTGCCTCCACCAGCCATTCTGAGTGGAGATCACATGGTCTGCATCATTGTGTTAACTTGCATCTATTTACTTTGGAAACCATCATTGATAGTGCCTGATCACTGTGCTAGAATTTACTAAAAAACTTCACATGGGTCAGAGGCCAATGAGGCTTTAGAGAAAGCTCCTGCCTGAGAATGCTGCTGCAACAAGACAGCATAAAAAGAGACTCCTGAAAAATAATCGGAGTACAACAGAAGCCCCTCTGTTCCCATCATCAGCCCCTAAATAATAACTGAGGTAAACCAGCAATAATTGAACAAAGTGACCCACAAATGTTGTGAAAGGTAAAACTCAATTAAGATTTAAATTCAATATTTAAGTGATCTCCATCATTAAAACGTCTGCCTTCTATACGATTTTGGTGTACTGTATAAACTAGCAATCTTGGCCATGTTTACATAAAACTAGTGTCTTGGTTTTGCTACATATTTGATTTAAAGATTAAAACTTTCCATTTGGAAGCCCATATGCTCAATTTCTAAGGCGCGTACAAGATAAAAAGGGCAGCGGTTCAAAAGACGCACTTCATCAGCTTTGCTGGCTTAATAAACCACATCACAGATCACCCTTATTCCATGTGTTTTATGAAAAAGATGATACTTACCAGTAAAGATATTTGGCCTTCCTTCACAATGTTTAAGATGCTCTTAATTTTTTTCACCTCTTCGCTCCTCTCTTCTGGGCCCCCTGAACTGCTCCAGTTCATACTCAGTTCTTCTAGTTGCTTGCTTTCTGCCACTGCTGTCTGCAGGTGGAAAGTCCTCAGGTGGCAGTTTGGCATAGTCTTCTCAGTTTTGTGAGAGTGAGGATCACCAAATGTCCTGCTGAGGAAGCCCTTGCCCTGGGCTTCAGATTCATGGACTGAGCTACACTTAACTAAAGGCTGGGAAAGCTCTAATTCTTCTGTTAAATGCTTGTGCTGATCAAGGACAATGGGCTGCGTTTTTCTCAGCTGAGAGGCTTTCACAGGAGACAGCACACAGAACTGCGTCCCGCCAGCAGGCGAGCTCTCTGTGCTCCCTGCAGAGCAGGTCTTGCCACTAAGACCATTCACTGTGGAACATACACCCAAAAGTTTTTTCTCAGGAGCTACCTTTGTAAAAGGAACAAGCTGCTGGCTTGATTTAATATAAGGCACATCCAAAATTTCATCCATATCCAGGTCATAGTGCTCCAGCTCCCCAAGCAGAACAGCAGGCTCAATGTTTTTGCTTTCAAGGCTCTCTCCTCCTGGGCTCTGGTCATCATTTGGAGGTGCAGATTGAGAATCGCTGCCTTTCTGATATTCTCCCTTCTGGTTCTTCTGGTCATCACTTTCATTGTTCTCAGAGTTTTCTGGCTGGTGCTTTAATGGGGAAACCCTCTTCACTGGTCTGAATTTATTGCATACATCTGCAATTCCTGTTGGTTTCTGTGCATTTCCGATAAGAGTTGAGACTCCACAGTTCCAGCTGCTGCTGGAAACTAGAGAAATAGAGGAATGTGATTTAGAAGTGATTACTACCAGACGTGTGACATAATACAGCATGCTTTAAAGATATACCTGTCCAAACACCGGAAACAAGAATTCATGGTAACATGCCACATTCATATCTAAGCAGATTTAATGGCATCTCTATCAAAACAGCTGAAGAATTTGACACTCCAGAAAAGAAACTTTCTTCAAACAGGACATACATTGTAATCACTTAGAAATAAAGTAATTTTAATCAAGTAATGGACGTCAATAAGAGCCTAGCGGCATTTACAGTGGTCCTGCCCAACTATGCTAGTTTGCACTCTGCTTTTTTTTATTGCACAGAGATGCATCACAAGAGTAGAATGATTTTCTGGGAGGTCAACAAAAGGGTTAGTGAATACTTTTTAGTGGATTTATTTTAAGAACAGTAACAACAATATAATTTTTAAGGCCTGTTATCTCTGGGAGATGTATTTTTCATACAAGAACTGGAAATTCGTATGAACAGTGACAGAGCTGGGACTGGGACCCAGCCAGCATGGGTTCATGAAAGGCAGGTCCTGCTTGACCAACATGATCTCCTTCTATGACCAGGTGACCCGCCTAGTGGACGAGGGAAAGGCTGTGGATGTGGTCTACCTGGACTTCAGTAAGGCCTTTGACACCGTCTCCCACAGCATTCTCCTCGAGAAGCTGGCGGCTCACGGCTTAGCCAGGTTACTCTGCGCTGGGTAAAAAACTGGCTGGACGGCCGGGCCCAGAGAGTTGTGGTGAATGGAGTTCAATCCAGTTGGCGGCCGGTCACGAGCGGTGTTCCCCAGGGCTCAGTTTTGGGGCCAGTTCTGTTTAATATCTTTATCAATGATCTGGATGAGGGGATCGAGTGCACCCTCAGTCAGTTTGCAGACGACACCAAGTTGGGCGGCAGTGTTGATTTGCTCGAGGGTAGGAAGGCTCTGCAGAGGGACCTGGACAGGCTGGATCAATGGGCTGAGGCCAACTGTATGAGATTCAACAAGGCCAAGTGCCGGGTCCTGCACTTTGGCCACAACAACCCCATGCAGCGCTACAGGCTTGGGGAA